GCGTCAAACTCTGAAGAATAGTTTTTGTGCCGGTCAACATTAGAGCTTTCTCAGTTAGGGAGGATGACTGAAGTGCATACTATACGGACGGGCATAAGTAATGACAATCATGGTATGGAATCTCTCACTGTGGTGAGGAAAAAGAATAAAGTTGCGCAACCAGTAAGCTGGTAGAACTATGGCATTTTCATACGAGCTCATCATGTGACTATTACCTCAATTATTGCAACCACTTGCTAGGTGGGTCATACGTATGAGGTGCAAATTGGAGATCTTCGATTGTGAAGTCCCATCCAAGGTTGATGATACTGCCTGTAGATTTCTTTCGCTGTCGTTGCCCTTGAGAATTCCATCCTCATCCAAGGTTTCAAAACGTTTATTTATTTATTTATTGGTCTAATAGCAGTGTACTTTAGAATTAAGGCGCTTGCCCAGCCTTGAAATGAGGCTTCTCAACGCGGACCCCCAAATGAAGATGCTCCATATAAATAAAGATGGAATAAAAATGATCACGTAGTCAATGACAGATGGGGCTCACATCTCAGCTGCCACCTCAGCTGGTCAAAGTTTTGTTTTATGCTCGGTCTTTGCCCTGTCAGCTGACAGGTGGGGCCAACCCGTCGGTTTCCCTGATTTCGCAAGAAAATCACACGGTCGGTGATCTTCATTATTCGTTAAACGCATATATGGTGTTTCCTCGTGCCCTGACTGTAAAGTGGTACTAAATTGTTACCCTGACCCCAAATATGATAATTTTGAGTAAATACCTCTGAAAGAACACTCAAATTCGATCGATGGAGGCATCATAACAAGAAATAGATCGGCGAGGATTAATCGTCCAGTGGGGGCGTCTCTCGCCGGAATTGATGTGGCGCATGGAGCTTGATGAGTCGGCTAAAGATAATTGGCATCCTCGCGACAACATAATTTATGATAAAAAACATTTGATTTACCATAGTTAAAAATCTGACATCAAAGATAATGGCTACGCGACCTAACCTAGCAGCAGCGCCGCTGCCAGCTGCTTCCTCCCTTCCTCTCCCCTTCGTCGCCCCCCGCACGGGCGACCGAGGGGCCCCAACCTTAGCCGCCGGTCACTCCTCCCATCACTCCCCTCCGTCACCGCTGGAGGAAGACGTCGGGCTAGGCCCGGGCGGCTGACGACGGTGGCGAAGGAGCCTCTCCTTCTCTCGCGCGAGGGTGGCCCGGGGCACCCGAGCGAGTAGAAGTGCTCCTTGGATCTGAGCCTTCGCGGCGGCGGATGGCCGCGGCATTGCAGCACCTCGGATCGGCGGCGGCGTGGAGGGCTTTGGTGGACTGGTCGGCTGCGGGCGTGGTTGACCCTCCGGTCAGATCTGATCTGGCCAGAGTGGCTTGCTCGCTCCGCGGCGGTGGAGATCGGTGGTGGTCTGTGCGCACGATGAGAGATGGATGTTCGTCGAGCGGATCCGGGTGAAAACCTTGTTCTCGGCTTGTTGCCAAGACCGGCGATGGCGGCACTCTTTTGTGTCGTTGCCTTCTTGAAGGCATCATCGTGGAGAAGCTCCAGACCTCTGTCCGTTACCTCTGGGGGAAACCCTAAATTAGTAGATCGAATGACGTGGCACTCTAGTGTCGTTTCCCCCTTGGGGGCGTCATTCTTGGAGATGTACAAGGGCTCGAGGGACCAGTGGACGGCTTCTTTGGTGGAGCGGTGCTTCATCTTACTCATTGATGGCAGCGGATCTCGACGGCGTGGCGCAGTGGAGACTCGGTGTCCGATGCGCGGAGATGGACTCGCGCAGGAGGAGGACGTTGTCTGGCGTCATGATAGCGTCGATGGCGGAGAGGCCTAGCAAGGTCGATGCGTTAGTTTCTGCTCTGAAGATGAATTGGTGGAAGACGGCGGCGACGACACATGAGAATGCGTCGAACCGGTTTGTACCCAAACTTAGTATGTGGCTCGGGTTGGGGCCTCCGGCTTTAGATGTTATGCTTTGGTGTGATGTCTATTTGGTATTAGGCTTGGATTAGACACCCCTTCTTCAAGTGGATAGGAGTAGCGACAGTTGTTGCTAAGACAGTGAATTCAGACTACCTGATGTATTACTTTGTAAGGTCCTTGTGAATAATTAATAAAATTGTTACATGCATCGTTCAGAGGGTAATCCTCTTTAAAAAAACAAATTTCCAATATTATTGTTGGTTTTTGGTGTTTGTTGTAGCCTTGCCTACTGTGAGCATCGGCAGAGTTGTCAATGTTTTATTAGCTTTCCGGGGTTTTGCCACATCTCACAAGAAAAAAAGTGTGTTTCTCAATGCTCCCGCCGGCTACTTAGAGAAAACTAAAAAATCACTAGAAAAATACTTCTTTCGGTCCTTTTTATTATGCATATAAGATTTTTTTAAAGTCAAACTTTATAAAGTTTAATCATATTTATATAAAAAAAACATTAACATCTATAATATTAAATCTATATAATATATTCCTTGCAAAAAGAATCTATATAATATAAAAATTAAATTCATGACGCATCTAATGACATTGGTCCAGAGTACTCTGTGCTAGTATACTCTGGAACGAGCGAGTATAATTGTAATGGTGCCAACAAATATATACCAGGACCAATGTCGTAACGTCAGCAAAAAAGAAAAGGACAACCTATTAGCATCATTTTTATTTGATTAATGGATTGGCCTAAAAAGGAGTTGAATGCAGACGGTGCGAGATCTGCGGCGAGAACGCGGCGAACATCACTGGATGGGGCGGCGGCGGCAAGGAGTTCATGCGACAGTGGCATGGGATGGCGAGCGTGGATGGAGGAGGCTCATCCAAGGCCAGGGGTCTTTGCAGAACCCAGTCATTCTGCAATTTCTTGCTTGCGTGTTTGATCATTGTATTAATCTCGTCGTGGTTCTTTCATAATCGTATGGTTTGAGATGTTTCAAGCCTCGAAAGTGTATCACATACTACTACGGCGTTGCATATCTTGCGTGACGAGGCCAGAGGAAGGACTTTAATTGAGATCTTTCTTTAGTGATGCCGGGAATGACATGGTTTGGCTATCAAAAAATAGTATATTAAGGCCATCTCCAACGGCAATCCATATCCGTCCATGAACAGGGACCATTCCACAAACATGGATGCAGAATGCCGCCATCCAACCATAGCCACATACATTTTCACAATAGTTAGAATCAATCGGACGAAATTCATGTATGGAATCAATCGGACGAAATTCATGTAAACACGGTTGGATTTCATGATATGACGGACTTCATACAAACTGGACGAAAATGTATACAATTTGAACATATGTAAAACTATGTGCGCGTACGGTCGCGCGGAGCTCCACTCACATGACACGGATACACTACACTAGTCTACGACCGACCGCGGCAGATCCCTTTGTCTTCTCAATGTCCGGCAGCCCGCTCATCGGACTGCAGGGAGCCCTAGAGGTATATACTTCAGCGCAAAGGACGGCCCGCTTCCTTACTGCTCATTGGAGCGGAACCGCCCGGCTGATGCTTCAGCCGAGGGGAAGGGGGTGCCTCCGCTTCAGCGAAGCCCAGACGGTGGCCGACGATGCTCCGCACTGAAGAAGAATCGGGCAAGACACCGACTGTGTATGCCGGCGTCGCCTCGACGATGGCCTTCCTGGGACACAAGCGGTGGTGGCCTATTGTGTTCTACTTTCCCTTGATCTTGGCGGCGGACGCAGACACGCTGGCCGCCGACTAGGCGATCTCCGCGGGGCCGGCTTCTTTCTCTGTTTGCATGGTGCGGCTACCCGCACGTCGACTGCGGATGGCGCACTAGAGGCGCAGTACGATGTGGTGTCGTCGATGGCAACAATGATGCCCGTGCCGCCATGCTCTTCGTTGTGCCGGTATGGAGCAACTTGCCACTTCTCCGCGAGCTGGCTTGGAGCGGCGAGTTGTTGAACCACGCGTCGGCTTGGGGTGGCAACTTGCTCCATCAGGCTAGGCGGGGGAGGTGGAGCAGTGAGCTGCCTCGCTCGTATTAGACGGGCTCGGCGGTCCATCCAGCCGGCTTTTATGCCGGAGAACTGCTCTCCCTACTCGTTAGATGTCATTGAAAGGGTGAAGAAAACGGTGAAAGGAGAAGATGGGGAGCGATAGACTTGGGTGGTGCGATTCTTGCCCAGCATCTAGCCTAGCTTAAATAGAGGGCGGGCGGGAGGAGTTTGCTCGACATTCGTTTAACGTCGAAAGGTGTTTTAATATGGAAAGGAGGCATGTTCAGCAGAGCGTGCAACAAGCGGCGTCCTCAGCCGGCGCACCACTTCAATGACAGAGACACTGAGAGGTCGCGTCCATCCTGAATCACCTTCAATGTAGAGCGAGTCACCTTCAATGTAGAGTGACGCGCTCTACAATGGGCGCTCTACAATGGCATGAACGGCGTGCTCCAACCTCCCTCTGCCTGTCCGACACAAGGCCGGAGGCCAGAGCCGCCTGCCTTGTCATTCCTAGCAAAACGCTGTCAGAGGGGGAGGATTTGCGGCAGAGGTGGGAAGGGAAGAAAGCGGACGCATACCCTAAATCGGAAGTTTACAGGCCTCCCAGAAACTTTTTACTGGCAGGGACTTTTATATAAATCAGCCAGCATAGTTCGCCAGGTGTTCAAGTTTACAGGCCTCCCAGAAACTTTTTACTGGCAGGGACTTTTCTATAAATCAGCCAGCATAGTTCGCCAGGTGTTCAAGGGATCTGAGATGCTCTAATTCAACTAAAAACAGTGTAGCAAGCATGGTGATCTTAACAAAAACACGAGCCAGATATCATCGCTGTTTGCAGTTGCTTTGCTGGCTAAATGAGAGAATGATAGACAATAGTATATAGTAGGAAAAAAGTTGATGAAATGTTCAACTTCAAATATGAAACCATGAAAAGATTTGGTGGAATTATAGATGCAGGTCAGCCCAACAGAACAGGCAAAATTGATAGTGCAAACTTTGTATCCAATAAACATAAGATTCCACTCAAAAGCCTTTCTAGCTAGCGTGGGACTTGTTCAGGATGACACCCTCATACTTGACCTGGAACCACTTCATGGCGTCTTCCTTGGTCACCCTTTGGTGGATCCCAACACGGGCCTTGCATCGGCGCCGGCGGGAGACACGGTATCCAGCTCGCTCCAGAACAACAAAGAAGTCCATGCCGTAGATGCCGGTTGATGGGTCATACCTGGGAGAATTAATCCAGAAAGTTTTAAGCATGTAAGCAATAGGATATCAATACTAGCAGGCAAAAGGTAGTTCAGAGAGGATTGCAAAACACTTCTCAAAAACAAGACAAGTATGTTAACTGATCAAACCTAGTCGACAACATACAGGTATAACCTTTCTGCACAAGCACTCAATATCAATTGCAGCAACAAACACTAGCATGTACAAACCGATAGAGAATACAAAAAAACTTACATTCTCTGCTTTAAAGAGATATTTGTTTATCAGACTTTACAACTGAGAAACACATTGTCCAACACAGTAGGAACAATGCTTCATATACATCACAGCAAAATAATTTCAGACTGGGGCAACAACTCAAGTGACTTGCAATGAGAACATAGGCAGCAATAGCAATGCATACTAAAGTACACATCATTATTATGCATTGAAAACTTTTAAAGAATGTGCATTACAAAATCCTTGTGATAATAGAAGTTCCACCATTTAACGTTAAAGATTATGACAACATGCACGTCAGGATTCTGCTGTGATAACTCCACAATGATTTCTAATAGCAGAAAGAACTAGCATCTACCTACAGTACTGTGTGTATGTCACAAAAGAAACTTTATTTTGCAACCCAATCTTACAATCAAGTTATCAAGTGAACCAAATTTACAGTCCTAAATAAATATAAAATTCGGATATATAAAATGCAAGCAGAACAGAGTACAGGAAAGGTTATCTTACTTCATGCCAAGATCAATGTGCTCCTGAATACCAAACCCAAAGCAACCAGTGTCACTGAAGTTCCTCCTCAGGAGCTCGTACTCCTTCACCTTCAGCCCACTCTCGAGAAGCTGCATTGCCTTCTCACCCCTGATCGTCACATAGCAGGCAATCTTCTCATTACGACGAATGCCAAAAGACCTGACAGTGTACCTCGCTGCCAAGATAAAAGAGCGATGACCGCAAGTCCGTAAGCACCACTAGATGTTGAAATCAATCAAGAAACATGGAGCAAACTTTAGCTTGTTGACAATATCTTACCCTTGGAGAAAACTGGCGACTGCCCGCTCAGCTGCTCCAACACCTGATGAGTAAATTCGAATAAATTAACCTCACGTCTCAAAATTTATTACTCCCTCCGTTCACTTTTGTAAGTCGTTTCAGACAACTCAAAATATGTTGTTTTGCACATTGTCTGAAATGTCTTCAAGGTCTTATAAAAGTGAACAGAGGGAGTATTAATAAAACTAAGTGCGCAAGCACACATAAGACGAACAACGTAGAGCACTACGGGACAAGTTTCATTTCGAGCGGATTGCGCAATTGCAGATCTATAACCACACGCACTGAAACAATATCAGATACACAGATGGATTTTAATTTATTTCTTTTTTTGTCGAGGACACCGAGTTGGGATGGATGGGTCGCGGATCTATGGTACCTTGGCAGCGCGAGTGAGGCGATCGCCGCTCTCCCCGACGGAGATGTTGAGGACAAGCTTCTGCACCTTGATCTCCCGCATCGGGTTCAACTGCTTCTTCTCCGTCGACTGCGAGAGACAAGCGCGTAAGAACATCGGGACACGCAAGAAATGCCGAGCGTTAGCATCGCGGTAGGAGTACGAGAGCTCACCATGGTGATCTGACGGGGGAGGCCGCCGGTGGAGAGGAATCCGAAGATGGTAGGGTTTAGCTGGTTCTGGGTGTGGCTGCGGCGGCGGAAACCCTAGAAATCTCCCGGCCTTATATAGGGGTTGCTGGAGGTTTGCCGGGCGACGATTTGGCAAAATGGCGTGGGGGACTTGGAGCGGTCCGATCAACGGATGGACGGCTAGGATATTCAGGTCGGCTCTAGCTGGGCTGTTGACGTTCTCCGGCCCAGCCGGATGGCTACCTGGACCGGACTCCCGGCCATCATACTCATAATCTCCACTACTATTAAACAATTAAATAAAAACTTTCTTACGTGCATCTCATAAAACATACATGGATTTATTATGACCGCATGATTAAGCCCATTAAACTTAATCTAACGGTTAGCCTTAACCTAATCCATTCTCTGTGTGCACTTAACAATTTACATTGACTGACCGTGCTTCACCATATGAAACTGCACGTCCGATCAATTAGAAAACTATAATCATGATCGCGTCTTCTTAGAAAACTAATCACGGTCATATCTTCTTAGGAAACTAATTACGATCGTGTTTTATTATCTCCAGTACTATTAAATAATCAAACAAGAACTTTTTTACGTGCACCTCATAAAATGTACACGGATTCATTATGACAGCATGATTAAACCCATTAAACTTAATCTAACGGTTAGCCTTAACCTAATCCATTCTCTGTGTACACTTAACAATTTACATTGACTTACATTGACTGACCATGCTTCACCATATGAAACTTCACGTCCTATTAATTAGGAAACTATAATCATGATCGCGTCTTCTTAGAAAACTAATCACGATCACATCATCTTAGGAAACTAATTACGATTGTGTTTTATTAGGAAATTAATCATGATCGCGTTTTATTAGAAAACAGATCAAGACCGCATTTTATTATCTCCACTACTATTAAACAATTAAACAAGAACTTTCTTACGTGCACCCCATAAAACGTACACGGATTCATTATAACCGCATGATTAAGCCCACTAAACTTAATCTAGCGGCTAGCCTTAACCTAATTCATTCTTTGTGTGCACTTAACAATTTACATTGACTGACTGTGCTTCACCATATGAAACTCCACGTCTGATCAATTAGGAAACTATAATCATGATCGCGTCTTTTTAGGAAACTAATCACGATCACATCTTCTTAGGAAACTAATCACGATCGTGTTTTATTAGGAAACTAATCATGATCGCATTTTATTAGGAAACTGATCACGATCGCATTTTATCTCCACTACTATTAAACAATCAAACAAGAACTTTCTTACGTGCATCCCATAAAACGTACACGGATTCATTATGACCGCATGATTAAGCCCACTAAACTTAATCTAACGGCTAGCCTTAACCTAATCCATTCTCTGTGTGCACTTAACAATTTACATTGACTAACCGTGCTTCACCATATGAAACTCCACGTTCGATCAATTAGGAAACTATAATCATGATCGCGTCTTCTTAGAAAACTAATCACGATCACATCTTTTTAGGAAACTAATTACGATCGTGTTTTATTAGGAAACTAATCATGATCGCGTTTTATTAGGAAACTGATCACGACCACATTTTATTATCTCCACTACTATTAAACAATTAAACAAGAACTTTCTTATGTGCACCCCATAAAATGTACACGGATTCATTATGACCGCATGATTAAGCCCACTAAACTTAATCTAGCGGCTAACCTTAACCTAATCCATTCTCTGTGTGCACTTAACAATTTACATTGACTGACCGTGCTTCACCATATGAAACTCCACGTCCAATCAATTAGGAAACTATAATCATGATCGCGTCTTCTTAGGAAACTAATCATGATCACATCTTCTTAGGAAACTAATCACGATCATGTTTTATTAGGAAACTAATCATTATCGCGTTTTATTAGAAAACTGATCAAGACCGCATTTTATTATCTCCACTACTATTAAACAATTAAATAAGAACTTTCTTACGTGCACCCCATAAAACGTACACGGATTCATTATAACCGCATGATTAAGCCCACTAAACTTAATCTAGCGGCTAGCCTTAACCTAATTCATTCTGTGTGTGCACTTAACAATTTACATTGACTGACTGTGCTTCACCATATGAAACTCCACGTCTGATCAATTAGGAAACTATAATCATGATCGCGTCTTCTAAGGAAACTAATCACGATCACATCTTCTTAGGAAACTAATCACGATCGTGTTTTATTAGGAAACTAATCATGATCGCATTTTATTAGGAAACTGATCACGGTCGCATTTTATCTCCACTACTATTAAACAATCAAACAAGAACTTTCTTACGTGCACCCCATAAAACGTACACGGATTCATTATGACCGCATGATTAAGCCCACTAAACTTAATCTAACGGCTAGCCTTAACCTAATTCATTCTTTGTGTGCACTTAACAATTTACATTGACTGACCGTGCTTCACTATATGAAACTCCACGTCCGATCAATTAGGAAACTATAATCATGATCGCGTCTTTTTAGAAAACTAATCACGATCGCATCTTCTTAGGAAACTAATTACAATCGTGTTTTATTAGGAAACTAATCATGATCGCGTTTTATTAGGAAACTGATCACGACCGCATTTTATTATCTCCACTACTATTAAACAATTAAACAAGAACTTTCTTACGTGCACCCCATAAAATGTACACGGATTCATTATGACCGCATGATTAAGCCCACTAAACTTAATCTAGCGGCTAACCTTAACCTAATCCATTCTCTGTGTGCACTTAACAATTTACATTGACTGACCGTGCTTCACCATATGAAACTCCATGTCCGATCAATTAGGAAATTATAATCATGATCGCGTCTTCTTAGGAAACTAATCACGATCACATCTTCTTAGGAAACTAATCAGGATCGTGTTTTATTAGGAAACTAATCATGATCGCGTTTTATTAGGAAACTGATCACGATCGCATTTTATTAGGAAACTAATCGGGTATTCGCACACATTGACACGCCCATCACCTCGACCTCCTAGATCACGATCCTATCTCTCCCAAGAAAAAACACCACAACCGACCTCCACTTGGCATGGCGACAAGGAGCCGAGGACCAACAACTCCTTCTCAGGGGACGCCACCGGAGTGCCGGTAATTCGTGAACCGCCGAGGGTGCCGCACCGGTCGCCCCTTCTTAGGGGATGCCGCTGGAGTGCCGGTAATTTATGTTGCTTGTAAGACAACTGCCCAGCCATCATTTATGGTTTCTTGCGAACTTACACGGCGTGCCTGTCCTGACTTGTATACTTCAAAATAAGGTTTCTATGCATTACTAACCAGAGTGTGCTATCTTTATATCTTCGGTGTTTCTTAGCAGATATCGTTTACATGTGTCATCAACACATTATTTGTTTTTTCTTAATTTGTAACACTTGTACTGCTGGAGTTGATTTATTTTAAGTTGTTACATTTGGAACTCCTTTCACTTCATAAAGGGGCTGGATGGTCTAAATTGCAAGATGTGATTTTTTTTCCTCACATGAACCATCTATAAATAAATATATATTTTTACTATTCTTCTACGTATAAATACTTTGAGGTCCTTTCGCTGTTCATTCGGTTAGTGGTTAGGAACTAATGACCATCAAATTATTTTTTATTGTTTGATAGTATTACACACAAGTGGGTGTAAACAAAAACTATCAAAAATGGTCATGACTTGCATTTTTTTTCTTATTTTCTACAACTGGTGCTTCTCCATATGTCTCCATTGTGTTCCGGGATGTTATTTTGTACTATTGTTTTCCTATGTCTACCCTTGTATTTATTCAGTGCATTGTTCTTTTCGCATTTTGGCATGAAAGCTTGCTGGCTTGGAGCAGGATGAATACAGATGAAAGAGGGGAAACATTGTAGAATTGTATATGTTGCTTGCCAAGTTTAGCTTTGGATTTTTAGTGCTTTGACACTTCGTGCAGAATGAACTAAACATTTACATGTCAAGAGCATCTTGATGCATATAAAGAGTAAACGGAGGCATGAAATAACGAGTTGTATGGGTTGATTTATACTCTCCAGTTTTATGTATGTTTGTGACTGTGTGTACCAGACATGAACATTCATCGTTTTATGCGTTGTCAAGCTTTCCTATACGCCATGAGACGCAAAGCAACCTTTTATCTATCATATGTTGGCATCTACTTGAAATGCAACCAATAATTATACGTGCGTTGCACGTGCACACTTACTAGTCCAACCAAACATTCTAGGGTGTTTTCTCACAAAAATAAAAAATAAACATTCTAGGGCGATGTTTCTCTTAAAAATATTAATTTTGGAGCAACCTAAAAAATGACCATACCTTTCAATAAAAGAAAGATTACACATCTATCTATACCAATATAAAAAGCTTGAAATCTTAAAAGTGCACGCGCGCTTGTTGGAGAGAACGAGCGGCCGCTCTGTCACTCGCATGCATACATGCATGTATTGTTTGCTAGTGCATGTGACTACTAGCATTAAATGCAATTAGACTTGTCACATGTGACAAAAACAGATCCACGTCTATTTATTTCGGGGTTTTCAAATTTTTAAAAAGCCATATCTTTCAAACCATGCGTCGGAATTTAGATCCGTCTTCACTGTTGGATTTCTCGTGACGGAATCTTTGAAACTAGATCCCACATGGATATGTTTCGACGAAATTCTTTTGATGCCAACTTCCGTGCTATATGGTGCAACTAGCCTACTGTCCCGACCAACTACCTAGTAGTTGTTGTGCAACCCTCCTCCCTACTCGTGGATGCGTAATTTTTCACTGTTGGCACACTCTACCCCCACCTTCCCTGCAAGGGATATGTGCAACTTAGTCTATTGTTCAAGCCAACTGCCTATTAGTCAATGTGCAACTCCTACGCTCTCTATTTG